CCACCAGAGCTCTTTTAATTGTGCACCTTGTTTGTTTGTTTGTTTCTTGTACTGATTTTATGTGTGTTGTCTTGTCTCCCTAATAAAATTGGGAATCTTTGATTAGAGATCACATTTTTCCTATATGCCTTGTACCTGGGGTTCATAACCTGTTTAACTGATGTCACAGAATAAAAGTGATGTCATCACCATTTCATCGTTTGAGATAGCTATTTCCAGCCCTACAACAGACTTTGGCCAATGTCCTTCAACAGTGTGTGTGGTTTCCATAAGGTATCATCAGTAGGGACATCTGTTTAGTCTGCTTCTTGGTGCTCTGCATTCTTTGAAGGATATACAAGTAGCAGCGCCTCATAGGGTCAGCTCATTTCCCAAATGTTTGAAGCTAATGATAATACTGACTAAGATTCTGTGAATGCCTAGTTGGTTGTAAATGGTATAGTTATTCAGACCCAAGGGTCTGGCCTTGAATTTTAGCTGGATGACCTGGGGCATGTTACCTAACCTCTATTAATTCAATTTCCATATAAGTGAAATAGATAGACTCATACTAACTCATCAGGTTGAGGTGAAGATTAAATGAGGTAACAGACACACAGCAGTTATTCAATAAATACTAGCTGTCGTCATCACCACCATACAGAACACCTTCTACTATTAATCCGCAGGACGAGACAGTGGAGCTGGCAAAATCAACCTTAAACTTGACTTTCATAATTTAAAAAAGTATTTAGGCCTAGAATTACAAAAAACGGTATTTTAAAAAGTTTATTTGATTAGCTGAATACTCCTAGTCCCACAATTTTAATTTTCTTTTCACCTCTGTTAATTGGTAAAATTGTTGGAGAGTACAAAAATGTAGTAAAGTTAATTTTGGATCATACTATGACAAGATTTTTATTTATTTATTTATTTTAAATTTTAGTCTAAGTGTTTTCTTATGGCATTAAAATAAAGAGCATTTTTAATGGTTGTATAAACCAAAAACCAAACTCACTGCCATAGAGCCATTTCTGACCCATAGTGACCCTCATTGGGTTTCTGAGGCTGTAAATCTTTATGGAAGTAGATTATCCTGTCTTCCTTCCACAGAGCAGCTGGTGGGTTTGAAGCACTGACCTTCCGGTTAGCAGTCAAGTGCCTTATCCACTACTCCATTGTATGGATATACCATAACTGATTTAACTAGACTCTTAGAACTTTTGGCTGCAGTTTCTGTACCATAAACAGTGTTACAGCAACTTTGGGCCTAGTTCTTTTCTTCCCAAGTAGTTATATTTGATGAAATTGGTGAATGTATACTTTCTGGGGAAGGAACAGAAGTGACACAGTGTAGTGTATGGTTGTTGCCTTGAAATTCTATATAATTTAGGTATCAAAGAAAACAAAAACCAAACTCACTGCCTTCAAGTCGGAACCGGCTCATAGCGACCCCTCCTTGGGTTTCCAAGGCGGTATCACTACGGAAGTAGATTACCCAATCTTCCTTCCAAGGAGTGGCTGGTGGATTTGAATCACCAGCCTTCTAGTTAGCAGTCAAATGCCTTAAATGGGCCATAACATTTGTAGAGAGAGGAGGAAAATGAAAAGAAAATTACTGTCTGACTCACAAAAACATTGTACCACAGAGAGGCCAATGTTTGGGCATCCTCAGAAAGGCTCGTGGCTGTCGCTGCCCTCCTTTCCAGTGCATAGAAACAGGCAGGAATAGTGGCTAGATGGTGCTGGCATCCTTGGAGAGTGGGAGTTCTGACTTCTCAAATCACCCAGATAGAATGCTAACAGAAAATGGGAGAGAGAGTTCACAGTGTATCTAACATTCTTGGTAGAAACTGAAGAAACTCAAATCTTTTATCATCTTTACTAGCCACCATCAAAGTACAAGTCCC